TAATTATTTTTCTATTTCAGATATATGTCTGCAGCTGTTGAGATTATGCAACAGTTACCCAGTTTTGCGCGCCAATCATTTCCTTTCGAGATCCACTTTAAGTCGGCCGTGTCGAGACAATTGTTAGACTATCTCTTAGTGCAAGTTCAACAGGGAACCAACTTTATGAAAATATGTCAAGGTTAGCGCAGAATATTTTCTTGTATATGAAGTTTCTCTTCTAATCAAAGGTGTGCAATTTTCGCGTCAGTTTGACCCAAATGGTGAAAATTGAAAATCACTATTTCAAACGATGCGCAATAAATATAGCTCGTCATTTCAACAGAAGATGCGCAAATTGTTACAAGTCTGCAAACAAGTTGTACTGAGGTTGTTGTGAAGCCGATATCAGGATGTGTTCGCACTGCTTGTTCCCAGTTGTTGTGACAAGTCTGGAACACGTAATATACTCGCTACAAGTTGTTCCAACAAGACTAATACAGGCCAGGCCTCGAATTTCCCTGAAATCAATCGACGGCAATGGCGTTAAAAATTGCCGTAGAACGTATTAAACAGCTGTCAACGGCAATTTGGGCAGTTTCCACGGTATTTTTCAAATTACTGTAATAAAAGTTTAATTTTATTGTTACTTTGGATTGTTGACAAGCTAGAAACATGTCTACGTATTTCTTTAGTGTTTTTTCTTCGAAGAAAACTGAGACTAAAATAGTGATTTACGCATTATTAGAGCAACATCTGAATTCAAGTATCAAGTAGTAATGCAAGTGCACATGAATAGTATAAAAATTACACTTTTCGGCAAAAAATTGCCGTCGTTGCCGCAATGATCCACGGCATTTTGTTCTCCCTCTACGGCAGTTGCCGCGATAAAATTCGAGCCCTGATGCAGGCTGTTCGTAACAAGTTGCTACCAGCTTCTCATCAACTTGTTACGTGCAGATGATATCAGACTTGTTGGAACAACTTGTTGCGAGTCTGTTGGCCTCGTCAACCTCGTTACAAGATGATAACAACTTGTTCCAGACTTGTCAACAACTGGGAACAAGCAGTACGAACACATCTTGTTCACAAGCTGGGAGAGTTTTTGCCTGTAGCGTTGTATATCTTTGTTAAAAGAATTCTAGCAGCGGTTGCTGACATTTTCCACCACTACTGTTACGAGTTTTACTGTTTCGAGTTATTCGTATACGGAAAGAAGTGTTGAAATTTTGAGACGGTCTCTAATGTGCCCATTCTGTGTCTAGGTATTGGTTCCCTGAATTTCCGCGAATACATCGCCCGTCATTTCAACCAACCAAACAGGGAAGGCAGTTCGGAGGATATCGAGAATGCATTTTACCAAAACTTCCTCTATTCTTATCCAAGCAACGACAAACTCATGCATCTATTTCTGAGTTATTACGACAAAACGAAAGACCTCCTCGAACAAGACATGCGCAGCCATATCGGAAATATTCTCATCTGTGATCATACGTTTAAACTGGGCAGCCACATCGGGGAGAGATCTAGTCGCAAAGAACCGACTGAGGGTCAGTTTGATCGAGCGTTCATAGGTCTGAACGAATATGGCGAGGTCATGTTCTTGAGGTTGACACGAGATGCGGGCTTCGAACAAATTGAAGATCTCCTGCAAGATTTTAGACTCCGTCTTTTAAATGAAGGTACTGTATGTGTAATTAGTTTACGTGTAATCATTATTAATCCAACCCTCGCAAACGAGATCAACATTGACGACCTAAATCCCGACCTGTTAACATTTGAAGTAGACAATATTTTACCGTCAATAGTCCCTTGATAATCCACCCGTTAAAGACTGCAGCCTGGCAATCGTAAGCTCGTAATAATAAATATTTAAAAACAGAGAACGTCTAAAAACGTATTAATCTTAATCTTGGTGTAATAAAAGCAAGCTAATGACTGGGCAAAACTATACATCACCGCCCCTGAGTTGGTATTCAGGGCTTGAAATAACGTTCCCAAAGTTCCCGATCATGGTGATCGGCAGACATGACTTTCTCTGCTTTTCAGATTGGAAACGCTACTTTTCCGTCGATCATAACCAATTTCTTGCCGATCGGTGATCGGGTGTTTTTTCAAGCCCTGGTATTCTACATAATTATCCTAAATACGATTCTTGTAACTAGGCATACAACTCGAGCTCATCTTGGTCGAGGATTGTTGTGTAGCTCAAGATCACTTCACGAATATCTTTGGCAACGTTCCAGTCAAGCTCAGTCCGTTTCATGCGACCCAGCGCGTTGTCGAGTCCCTACCGCCCTGGTTTAAAGATATCAAGAAGTTTGCGAAAGATTTCCGCATGGTGTTTCGCGCCAAGGACGATCGCAGCGAGGAACGGATGCAGAACACGCCCGAGGGGAATACGATCTGTGAAAACTTGGAGCAGTTCATGGCAAGGTATTTAACCACATGTTTATTTTTTCTTCATATTTTTCAACTGTACACGTGAAACACACAAGTTGTTACAGGTCTGCAAACGAGTTGTGTTAGCACTGCTTGTTGCCAGTTGTTGTAACAAGTTTGGAACAAGTTGTTAACAACTTGGAACAAGCTTGATGGCAGACTTGTTACAAGGTTGTTCTAACTAGTCTGTTACAGTCATGATATAAGAAGAATGTTACTACATTTTCAAATGCCAGAACTTCGTTTTCAAATGCCAGAACTT